CACACCTGTCTGTAACTCCTCCAGCAACACACACAGACACCAATACACACCTGTCTGTAACAGCCTGTCAGTGTGGAGAACTCCCTCCACCCTAAAGAGACTCAGCTCCTTCAGCCTGTCAGTGTAGGACACTCCCTTCAGACTAAAGAGACTCAGTTCCTTCAACCTGTCAGTATGGGACACTCCCTTCACAGTAAAGAGGCTCAGTTCCTGCAGCCTGTCAGTGTGGGACACTCCCTTCAGACTACAGAGGCTCAGTTCCTGCAGCCTGTCAGTGTGGGACACTCCCTTCAGACTACAGAGATTCTGATAATTTTCTTTTCCATAACATCACAACCAAACTTGTAAAAACATTGCATAAGTAGACCTTACTAGTGTGTTATACAGTTTTAACATCCCTTTATTTAAATTCTACATTTAAGCCATATCCCAGTATTTTGTTTGCCTTCTTTCGTGTGCTGTGTGCCAGCGAGAGGCGCCGTCACTCACCTGCCAGCAGGAGGACAGCCAGCCCCCTTCTCTCCATGAGCCTGTATGGGGAACAGGACCAGTGCTGAGTCAGCTCTTCCACACACAGACCCTGACTGAACTGGACTGAATGTCTTCAGTCTTCAACAGTGAAGACTGCCAGCAGACCTGACAGAAGTATTCAAAATCCTCAACCCCATCGACACAGTCACCCCACCAGACGTCTTCACAATCAACAGTGAGACACCAGCCTGCGAAATCAAGTGGAAAATACCAGGGAAGAATTTACAACTTATTTTCATAAAGGGTGGGGGGAGTGGGGAACAGGCTGCCCAGCCATCGTCGTTGAAGCCGATAACCTGACGTCTCTCAAGGAACAGCTGGATGAGATCCTTCAGTCAGGACAGGAGGCACTACTTTACACAAAGGGTGGTTGGAGTGTGGAACAAGCTGCCCAGCCATGTCGTTGAAGCCGATAACCTGACGTCTCTCAAAGAACAGCTGGATGAGATCCTTCAGTCAGGACAGGAGGCACTACTTTACACAAAGGGTGGTTGGAGTGTGGAACAAGCTGAACAGCCATGTCGTTGAAGCCGATAGCCTGACGTCTCTCAAAGAACAGCTGGATGAGATCCTTGGTTTAATTAGCTACCAAACGGGCTGGGATGTGCGAATGGCCTCCTCTTGTCTGTGACCCGACTGATGTTTCCATAAGCAAAAACTGTCATTTGAGTTTTGACTGTGTGCCTGCTGGGTGCTGACAGACGGAGATATATATAGCGCAAGATCGGGGCCGTGTTTCCGAGCGCCTCTGCTGGACCGTGACGAAACGAGAAGTTTGGCCGGACCTGATTTTTGCAAACCAAATGGTTTTCACCCACCCACATCTCTCCACTCTGCCCGAGCTTCTGTCCTCTGCTGCAGTATGAATTTTCACTTCAAATGAACAATTCAGATTTGAAGTAATAACTACAAGACTGGGTTGCAATGTGGTGCAGTGGTGGGCATTGCTGCCTCTCACCTCTGGGGCCCGGGGGTTCAGTTCCAGAACTGGGGTGCTGTCTGTGTGGAGTTTGCATGTTCTCCCCTTGTTTGCATGGGTTTCCTCTAAGAGTTCAAAGGCAAGCTGGCAGGTTTATTGTCTTCTGGGAAAGCTGGCCCTGGCGCGAGGGTGCTTGTGCCTGTGTGCCTGCTCTGTCACGGACTAGCGGCTCGTCTGCGGTGTACTCAGCCGTGCGCCTGTGTCTTGCCGGGATAGGCTCCTGATTCCCCACCACCCTGAGGGGGAAAGTAGTGCCTCTTGTCCTGATTGGAGGATCTGATCCAGCTGTTTCTTGAATGAAGCCGTTGGCTTGGCTTTAACAACATGGCAGGGCAGCTTGTTCCCCACTCCCACCGCCCTGTGTGTAAACAGGGGCCTCCTGTTCACAGTTGTGCAGAAATGCACTACTCTGTAGTTTCCACGTGTCTCCTGTGGATCTGTTGCGATGACTCTGTTAATGGCTTTGAGGGATTGTGAATACCTGTGTTAGGTCCCTCATAGTATTCCCCATTCAAGAGATTCTGTTCCCTCAGTCAGTGTGGGACACTCCCTTCAGACTAAAGAGACTGAGTTCCTTCAGTCTGTCAGGAAGAATCTATGGCCAGAAGCTATATCACCCTGCAGTCTGTGTGACAGAGACACTATACTGTAAAAAAGGCGCCGTGCTTCAGATGAAACATAAAACCTGACTCTGTGGTCATTTAAAATCGCAGGGTGTTTCTCAAAAGAGTAGGGGTGTTACCCCGGCGTCCTGCCCAAATTTCCCCCTGGCCTTTATCAATTATGGCCTCCTAGTAACCCCCCTCTCTGAGCTGGCTTCATCACTCTGGTCTCCTCCCCACTGAGAGCTGGTGTATGTGAGGAGACTGGAGCATCATCCAGGTGGGGCTGCACACTGGTGCTGGTGGAGGGGATCCCCATTACCTGTGAAGAGCTGTGAGTGCAGTGTCCAGTGTGA